ACAAGAAAAAAAGGAAAAGAGAACCCCCCCCCCCCCAGAAGAATAAACAAAAAAAAGGGTAGTTAATCATTTGTCATAATTGTTTCCACTTGTCTTTCAGGATGGGGATAATTGGTTGCATTTCAGTCCATCAACATTTTCCGGCATAGATTCTTCCTACAGTTTACCCAACAACACTGCTCTTTTAACCCTCCAGGTATGCAAAGGATATATGGTATAGAGAGCTTACAGAAAGAAAATAGAAGATGAAGTTTAAGATGACTTCTAACGTTTTACCTCATCTTTATCTCTGATGTCTTTTGCAGGAATTTAAAAATGGAAAAGTACTCCTAAGACTGGCTCACCTTTACGAGGTTGTAATTTTTACGGATGTACTGATAATAATCTTGGATTCTCTCTTACAGATTTAAATTGTCCTTACAAAATGATCTTCTATGGATTGCTTGACTGCATTCTTAAATATTGCATTTAACCCATGCTATAAAAATGCAAACTTGCATGCATTTCTATCAAAGTAATGGTAGTAATATTTATATATGCTACTGTTAGAGATCAATAACAGTTTGTCCATGAAAGCTGTAAGTCTACCCATGCAAAGAAACTTTATAATCTAGCTATGAATGATTTATGATATTTGTCATGCATTCAGACATCAAATATCCTATATTCTTGAATTGATGTTTGGTGCCTATTTGCATCTGAAGATTGGAGAGGACAAAAATTACTCAGTAACAGCAAGTGTGGAATTGAAAAAATTGTTTCCTAACAAGAAGGTAAGAGTGATACCAAACTACTCCCAAGTTAATGTGTTACACATCATGTGCTCATGTATAGTTTCCTTTTGACCACTCAACCTTTTCAGATAAATAAAGTGACAGAGATGAGTTTGTCTGCAAATCAAGAAAGAGCTGAAATGGAAGAGAGGAAGTTAAATTGGAAGGTAGATGGCTTCACTGAAGAACCCAAGGTGGTGAGGGGAGGACCTGTTGATCCTTCAAAGTTGGAGGTTGAACTTGCTCCAATGGAGATTCGGACATTCTTTATTGATTTTAATCCCCTCCAAACGGTTACTGAAGCAGAGAATCATGTGGCAATGTAGCAAAGCACCCAAAACAATGCATCTATGTGTTGTGTCTGGCTGTGAGCCAATTGAATATATTATATATGTTTTCTTGTTGTTGTAGCATGTTGCTGGAGGATATGTTGTGTATTCTCGTATAAGCCTTTGTGAATAAACAAGTTCTGTAATTTGAGTCGGGATAACTATTGATACAAGAGTTGCGCACACTAAAACTCCCTAAAAGTTTGAGTTTTGTAAATTGTGAAATATGAGCGGTGCTCATACATTTGGTCTTTTGTCCTTTTGGCTTAAATATGATGATTTTAAATTATGATATATTTATTTTAAGTCCCCAAATTTAAAGATATATTTTTAATTTTTGTAATTTGAAATATTTTTAGTTTGTTATTTAAATGTCGAAAGTGAATGTGTCAAATATTGATAAAATTTACGTTTTGTAATTGAAAATATCATATTAAATTTTGACGTAACACAAACTAAATTTTTTAAGGGTCCTTCTAAATATGATAAAGTTCACTTTTAGTTCCTCCTGTGGATTTTTTGATATTTGATATTTTATTAATAACCCTTTGTCAGTAACTCTGCCGGTGGAATTTAACAGTGATCAATTGCTGCATTTTAAGACCACCACATTATCAATTATGCATTTGTAATTTTTTTCCCGTGTTTGACCAAAAAAGTACTCTTTTCCTGCTTGCCAAAACCCATCCCCTCTCCTCAACCATTGAACCCTTGCCCCCTCTTCACCACTTGTGTCATTTCCCCTTTTCCTTCTCTCTCAAACCTGCCCTTTCCTGACAATGCTCTCCTCTCCCTCTGTCAAATCTGGCATGTCCCTTAACGTCTGCAGAATGTTCGAAGGAATTTCCAACCCAAAGAATTCAACAAAATCTCCCTAGTCTCATGTCACTGTTAGCTCACAACACCATTATGTTAATAAAGTAAACTTCACCTTACCCATCTTCTCTCTCTCTCTCCTTTGTTGTCTAGTAATTAAGTCTTCCTTTTTCTTCCAAGTGCACCAATATATGTCAAGGTTTTTGTTAAAGTCAATTAAATTTTGGTTTGAACTTTGATATTTACACTTTTGTGCATGTGCTATTAAGGTGTTTTCGAAACCAGATGAAATATAAAACCAAACTTAATAAATTTGAGAGATAAAAACATATAAATCTTTAATTTTAAGTTTTATTCCCTATATGAAAATTTGTCTGTTTTAATTTTTACACATGATAAAATTAAAAGCTAACTTTGGTCCCTGCGATAAATTATTACAAAAAAAAAAAAAATTATTCAGAGACTAAAGTTATAGTACCTTTCCTCTCTGGTATTTCATCACATCCTTCGGTGAGGTATGCACTAAATGCAATTCTGGGAGAAAGCACCAACACGGCAACCGAATAATTCGAATATGAAACTTTATATGCACAAAAAGAAGATTGTCACAGTTTCCACGTGTTATAATAAAGTATAATTGTTTTTGCTTGAACGTTATGTAAACTAGCTTATTTAAATGTACAATTTTTATTCATTGTGATTCGTGATTCTTGAGTCTTGACTCAGCGAAAGGAAAATAAATCATCCACAGCATGGACGTGTCAGAAATGGCACTTTATTTTTATCTTAAAAGGAAATATCACTTGTCTTTGTCTGGATCTTATCCAAAAGCTTATAATTAATTAATTATTAATTTAAGAAAAAAAACACATGTGGAAGATGCTTTGTTGATAATGTCAGACTAACTGAGACAATGCTAACCACCGAGGATGCTTCCATTTGATTTAGACTGAGGAAGGATAAAATATATTTTGATCCACTTTGTAAAGTCATTATTTCTTATAAATTACAATTAGAATTCTTTATTCGGTATACTTTATTTTTAAAATAGTTATTATTTCGATTAAATTTTTTTAAATAACATTTAAAAATAAGTAATTATTTCTTGATATTTAAACTCTACCAATGTATTGTTAATGGGTCATACTTTTTATTTAGTAGGTTTTTTTTTATAAAATGATTTAATAAGTTGTATGCAAATAATAAAAATGTTAATATTAATATATTTATATAATAAAAAAATGGTAATCAATGTTTTTGAGTCACTAATCAAGAAATCAAAAGTAGAAAGTTTTTGCTAAAAGACCTCTAAGATTGATCTAATGATGATAGATTAGGTTAGTATGCGTAGGACACTAGGTTCAATCATTATAATTTTTTATAAATTATAAATAAAAAATTATTAAAGAGTATATTTACATAATCTCCCATGTAATTTTGTTGTAGATTTTAAAGAAGATTTTGTACATATTTGTCCTTAACCTAGTAACACCCTATATTATATATGACATCTTGTCATTTCTTTTATATATATATATATATATATATATATTGTAAGAAATACAATTTTGTTTTGTTTGAGCTTAGTAAAATTATTGTAGAAGATAAAATTTCTCATATGAGTATTTAACTAACATACCATAACAACAAAATTTTCCTTTTGATTTATTCCCAAAATTCGAAGTTGAAACTGTATATTAACTTTAAATAATCTATATCAATTGGTCAACATGCTTATCAAATTCATTTCTCATTTAAAGTATGTTAGTAATTTTTTAATATATTTTAAAATTACAAAATTATTAATGTCTTGTTAAAGATTATTAATGTCTTGCTAAAGGTGTTTTAAATCTTCATGATTTTGTTAAAAATAATTTTAATTCTTATATTTAAAAATATTAATTTTGATTCTCATATTAATTAATGAGATATGGTGATTTCTTTTTATCGTTATCCTATACTTTAGTTTAATTTAACTAAGAGAAAATTTTATTATATTTAAAAACATATATTTTTTGAAGAGAGGAAAAAAATAATTATGTAATTAAAATGTAAGTATTAATGAAGTTATTTTTTTATTATTATTAAGAGTTAGGATTCAATGGATGGGTAACCTTTCACAACTTAAGTTTTTTATATTTACAATAATCAAGATTCAATCCTTAGACACGTGATTAAGTGATATGAGTCACTCACTACTCGTATCAATTCAAGTTAATAGTATTAATGTGGTTATTAAATATCATTCATATTTTTTGGAAAAAAAATTATAAATCTGATAAATATTTCAAAATTCAAAAGAAAAAAATAGATATTAAAATTAATATTAAATAAATATGGTTTAAATATATTTTTTGGTTTTGTAAAATAAATGTTTTGATTTTGGCCTCTAATTTTTTTTGTTTGTTTTGTATTCTTCTAAAATTTGTAAGTGTTATCTTTGATCCTTGTAAAGTATTTTTAGATTTTATAAAATGATTAAATTTTTATTTGGATCCTCATAAAGGCTTGTTACCAATTTGATTTCAGGCACTAGACACATTTTCACACATATCCAGTGTTTGACCATGTGTATGTACGGCTGAATTGTCCTATTCAGGTGAAAATTGCTGCCTCAATTCTTCAACTGTTGATCTATTCATGGAGAATGAACCTCAGCCAACATCAACAAAGAACATGGTGCACTTGTCTCAGAGTAAGAATTTCCAATCTGGCTAGTCAAGTAGTTAACTAATGATTTAATACTTTTTTAATTCCTATAATTTTATAAATTTTCCCTTTTAATCTTTGTAATTCAAGACATGTTATTTTAATATATATATATATATTTTTTTTTTAAATTTTCATCTCTATAAAATCTAAAATTACTATTTTGACTTCTAATAATACTTTAAGACAAATAAATAACAATTATTTTAAAGACTTATAAAAAAATTTAGAAATGATATACACTAGCATAACTATTATGAATAACATCTAAGACCACTTGATTAAGAGACATAAGTCTCTCATCACTTGTGTCAACCTAATAATAATTTTAAAATTTATAAAATTAATTTTTTTTTTACATAGATCAAAGTTAAATCATGTTCATGTTACACTAGTAGAAACATATTTAAATAATAAAAAAAAAATATCAACAACTAAAACATAATTTATCCTTTGAAAAAAAAAAAAACTTTCTCTGTCATCTATCTTGGAATTTTGTTAATAGTATTATATTATTTCTATTCTCTCTGTTATTTATTTTGGTTACATTAGAAGCGAAGTCAGAGTGATTAAGAGCCGATAAAACCACTTGTTTGTACTTCTAACCTTCGAACACAACACATGGAAATGACTCTGAAGCATCAGCACTGTGCATGATCACCAAGTGGAAGCCGTTCCTTCTTCCGTTTTTTAAGAGAAAGAATATTTTTTCAGCTGTTATTTGGCGTCTGAAACGGTTTTCCCTTAATGGGTGAACGCTCCTGCATTCATCATTTTCAGCATCTAATGGCGAAGAAATTGCTGTTTTTGTTGACCCTTTTGGGAATTCTCCTTTGTGCGCAATCCAAGTTCATGGTGTACAACACCTCGCAGGGCATAGTCCATGGGAAGCTCAACGTTCATCTGGTTGCTCATACCCACGACGATGTTGGTTGGTTGAAGACCGTTGATCAGTACTATGTTGGTTCTAACAATTCAATTCAGGTGTTGTTTTTTTCTTCTTCTCTTTCTTTGACTAAACTTGTGTACCGTGTGTCTGAAAATTGCAAGCTGATGGACTTGTTTGTTACATTGCAATGCGTAGGGAGCTTGTGTGCAAAATGTGTTGGACTCCATGGTTCATGCTCTGCTGGCTGACAAGAACAGAAAATTTATCTATGTTGAGATGGTAAGTTAAGTTTTGTTTTTTCAATTTTATTTTACCCCTTTATGTGTTTCTCTTGAGTCTTGACATTCCTTTGGTTCTGTTCGGGTAAGTTTATCCTGAAGTACTTGAAGAAGCGAGAAATAAGAAAATATGAAATGAGCTAAAATTAGAAATTTTCTCCTATTGACTTCTCCAAAATCTTATTTTCAACTTAGGCATAATTAGTTTTAGCTTATGGAGAAATTTATTTCAATTTTGCTTTCTATTTTTTCTCCAAGTGCTTCTGGATAAATAGGATCAGATTGGATTTCTGCTTGTGCCTAAAGGAAGTATGAAAGTTGGTCCTTTAGGGTGAACGTATAATGTAGATTATGTAGTGATGTTCCAAGATACAATTTGACAAAGCATTTCGTTTCCTTGTGTAGTCTAAAGTCTATACCTTCCTTGCCATTTTATCTTCCAAAAGCGATGCTTTATATTTAACATCCCTCTTGTGCCTACCAACAGATTAACGTTGATCCTACAGTTACAGCTTGATAGACCCTTAATGCTCGTGACACTGATAAATAACGTTATGAAATGAGAAAAAAAAAAGTTTTTTTAAAATACGGACTACTTTTGAAGTTTTTTAAATGTTGACTGTGAGTTGCTCTCTCTTAGATTGACTTGGTACTGCCCTGTGTTAAGCTTTCTAGCTAATGAAATTGGTAAATAGGAATATAGTTTGAGGAATTGTCAATCTCCAAAGCATGAACTCCATATATCAACGTGTTTGGTTGGGTGTCATCGACAGTACATGCACGTCCCTCTGATGCATTTGAGACTAGCTTCTACGTATTTTTAGATTTTGACGTGTTTTTTTATTTTATCTAAACTTACATATACATGGGATTCCAAACACACACTATATTTGTATTTCTTCTTTGTACTGTAAATTTATATTTATCTCACATTTTCTGTTTTGTGTTCATTCCTAGTCTCTGTTTATATACTTGAACATAGCAGGTAACCATATGTTTGTTTCACATGTGGGCTGTTTCATATTAATTATTCCACTTTCATCATGCAGGCCTTTTTCAAGCGATGGTGGAGAGATCAGAGTGAAGTTATTCAGGATGTAGTTAAGAAACTCGTTAGTACGGGTCAACTAGAGTTCATGTAAATTACATTTCTGATTACAAATTTCACTGTGATTAGGAACAGTCATCCTTCATGGTTGTGAGGATTCCAATAACTATGGAAGATTGTCTCTCTCCATTATTGTATTTTTTAATTTTCTTGTATTTGGGTATTGATGCTATTTCTTTCTTTTATTTTCTTGTTGTTACAGAAATGGCGCTATGTCCATGCATGATGAGGCAGTAACTCATTACATAGACATGATTGATCAGACTGCACTTGGACATCAATTTCTGAAAAAGGAATTTGGTGTGACTCCTACAATTGGTTGGCAAATTGATCCCTTTGGACATTCTGCTGTGCAGGCTTACTTGTTGGGAGCTGAAGTATGCCATAGATCTTTGACCATTGAATCTTGTCGATTATATTTGGAAAAAGATAGCTGTCAAGTACTATTTTCTTTGTGGGCTATCAAATGGTTTTACTGTGGATGTAGGTTGGCTTTGACTCCCTTTTCTTTGGTCGGATAGATTACCAAGATAGGGCTAAGCGCAAGAAGGAGAAGAGTCTTGAGGTTATCTGGCAGGGTAGCAAGAGCCTTGGCTCCTCTGCCCAGGTGAATATCAATAAATGTTTTTTCCTCTCTTTAAATATTTGTATGGTTGTCTTTGTTTTTTTAATGATTGGTGTCTCTTAAAGTGTATGTTTCTTTTAATTATATTGTGTATCCTTGTTGCCTTTGTGTTCTTCCAGATCTTTGCTGGAGCATTCCCTGAAAATTATGAGCCACCTTCAGGATTTTACTTTGAAGTTAATGATAACTCACCAATCGTCCAAGTAATATTATAAGAACCTGTTAATTTTGCTATCACATGTTAACTATTTTTTTCTTTGTTTTGATAAAGCTTTCTTACTTTTTGCTGAAGGATAACATGGAATTGTTTGATTACAATGTCCAAGATCGAGTGAATGACTTTGTTGCTGCTGCATTATCACAGGTAGGTTGAGCAAGTTTGTCTTCAAACTGCTGAAGAAGTTATATGACTTTTTGGACACAAGAACATGTTTAGAGATTAAAAACTGAACTGAGTGATTGAGAAAGAGAATTATGTACAGGGATATTCTATCCTAAATTTTAGTTCCTATTTACAACAGGTACTTTTAGAAATTATTAGAGTTCAAAGAATGAAAAGAAATCTTTAGTGATGTCATAAAAATGATTACTGTTGTTTTCCTTTGATACAATCAATACATAGACACATCAGTTCCTAGACCTAATTAACTGTGCCATCTGGCAGCTAAATGATACAGCTATTTCAGTGAGACAGTTATAACTGTCTGAACTGACAGAATGGCAGCTAAGGCTGAGTGAGAGAGTTATCTCAGAAATGATAAGATATTTTCACATATTATAACAATTTTCAATTCACAAATCATGACCAATAAGAAAATGGAAGCTCACTAGAGTTCTTTTACTACATGGATACGACTCAGGACACAGTTCTGTAAATACTGTGGTTTTTTTTTGTTTTCTTATTGTTAAAATGAAAGAGCTGGCCTAACACATTGTTAGGTCTAAAAAAAATTTTAAAGTGAAGCTTTTTTTAAAAATATTTAGTAATATCTTTTGATTAAAAAAAATGTTTTTGAGATGGACTTTGAAAAAATAATTATATTTGTATTTCTTTTAGAGTGGTCTTTTAAAAATATAAAAAAGTGACTTTTAAATTATGAGCCTTGAAAAAATTATATATATATATA